ATATTATTATATATTTTATAAACAAATAATTAAAATTAAATGATAAAATCAAAACTTGTCAATATATGAGTGTCGTATAATTGTGATACACACTTTATTGAGCGTTATGCTGGGCATTAAATGGCAAAAATGACAAAGTTGGGCGTTCAAAAATAATCGTGTCATTACATTAAAAAAATAGTCATACAGTTCATTTCCACATGGCATTTTTTAAATGGCATTCATCATTTTTTATCATTTCAATGCATAGTGGAAATTCGGCATCCCGATCCAGGAATTTTAATTGATCTTTTTATCAAAGGCTTTTTTTACGGCCTTCATCGCTCATTCTGATACGTAGACTTAAAATATGTAAATTATAAAAGTTTTATTTATGTATGTACAGTTGTCCACAAAATAATAGGAGTGCGATATTTTGACCAGTTTTGGCTATTTGTCTTTTGTTTATTTAATGTTTATTATTTTTTTATAAAAGCCTAGCTGGCTATACAACAAACACCATATAAATTCAGATTTTAAACTTTGTATAAAAATTATAAAAATTTTGCAATTTTTCACCCAANGTGTTTGTTGTATAGCCAGCTAGGCTTTTATAAAAAAATAATAAACATTAAATAAACAAAAGACAAATAGCCAAAACTGGTCAAAATATCGCACTCCTATTATTTTGTGGACAACTGTAAGTATATACATACATATATGGAAAATAGAAATTTGCAATGATTCAACTCCAAATCTTAATATTAAGGAGCTTTGACAGGCTTCTTTTTCACTGTGCTGAAAATATTTCATAAGGGAATTTGAAAAAAAGCCTTTTTTTTTTTAATCAGTCTAAAGTACATACATACATATGTATGTATGTATACATATATATATGCATTTGTATTTATGCACATATGCAATATTTTTATGCTAGGTATGTATGTATGTTACTGTATATTCTGATTTTGTCTGCAAGTAACTTTTCGGTATGTCTAAGCGCAGGTATTTTACACATACACCTCCGGAACAAAGTATTGGCACAGCAAATTTTTCACAATATATGCAACAATTTTTAATATTTTAATATTTTTTTTTTTTTTTTATGTATGCCACCGCATAACTTTGGACCACGTCAACCGATTTCCCGGTCCCATACTAATCTGGTTGAGATACGATCAGTGGATCATGAGATATATATATATATTTTTTTTTTATATGGGAGTTGAAGTCGGTTTTTTTTTTTGCTAAAAATTACTTGTTATTCTAACATTTTTCCGCCAATTTTGTATAAAAATATGGTTGATTCTACAACAAAATACATATAGATCCTAAACTTTGTGCAAAACTCGCGAAAATTCAGCAAATTTTTATGCAAATTTTCACATTTTTTGAGTATGCAGATTTGTAGTTCAATTAGTTTTATTATAATAACGTGCAAGTTTTGAGTAGCTAGGAATTACCATTGATTTTTGGCAACTTTTTTTTTGAAGTCTCTTCCATACGATTTTTTTTTCGAAAATACTTTATATAGAAAAAAATGCAAAACACCTTCAACGAAACAATTCTCAAAAATCAATTTGATTTTTGACGAACTTCGATCTGGAATTTTTTCACGAGAATTTAATGGGCTGCAAAACTGCATACTCAAAAAATTCAAAAAAAATCTGATCATAAGTTGAAAATTTGCATGAAAATTTGCTGAATTTTCACGACTTTTGCACAAAGTTTAGAAATTATATTTTTATTAATTTTTTTTTCTTCTAGAATGGACCATATTTTTTTACAAAATTGGCGGAAAAATATTAGAATAAAAATTGTTGCATATATTGTGAAGCATTTGCTGTGCCAAAACTTTGTTCCAGGCAGTGTATATGTATGTGTGTATGTACATATGTATGTATATAGTATGCATATAGTATTGTACTTTTCAATATATCGTGGATTTTTTAATGTCGCAATATAAAATTTAAATACAATATTTTTAACATTCATATTTCCAACTAATATTTATATATATATGGATGTATGTATGTAAGTATATATGTATGTATTTATATTTTATTATTGTTATACATTTGTATGTATAATATGCTTGAATCACCATAAATTTTTTTAACACCTCTTAGATAGTAAAAAGGCCCTTAGTATGCATGTACGAGTACATACATATGTACATATGTAAATGAATATTAGTTATTACTGTTCACAGCTAAGTAGTATATATATGTACATACATATGTATTTATACATATTAAGACTTCAGAGAAAAGCCATACTATTTACTATCTGCACTATGTATGCATTCAAATAATTTGTTTTGAATAACCCATTCAAATGTTGAACTTTTTTTCAAAAATCTAATAACTATGTAGTTATTTTTAAAAGCATTGGTAAGTTTTATTTGGTTTCACACCAATCACTAAATATTGAAATTTTCCGAGTTTTCGTTTATACATACATTTACGTGTAAAATAAAATTAATGCCAAGCCTCAAATTTTAATTAAAATTATTCTTTATCAATTTTATATTTTCCCTTCCGAAAGCGCATAGTCACTTTTGCAGGTGTCCATCAGTTTCTCTGTGTACGATTTATCTACTTCGGTGAATGATTTGGCCGAGGTTGGCGTTTTAAGTTCACCTTCAGTCTCTAGTTTTTCAGGCGCAACGGATGCTGATGGTGATTTACGGTAATTATTAGGATTAAAAGGTGGTATAGCGTCGACCTTTAGATGTAAACGCTTAACTGGTGGTCCGATATCCTGGCGGTGCTTTTTAGTAAGTGCTTCGAATTTTTGTAGGTTTTGCTGACGACGTGTACTGGGCGATTTTTCTCCACCTGGTTGACTACCTATCTGTTGTTGTTGCTGTTGCTGCTCTAACTTAGACTCGTATTTTTTCTCTAATGACTGCAAAATGTTGCCAATTTGCGATGCTTTCGTTTGTAGACGTGAAACCATCTCACCCTTTTGTGTGAGTTCGTCTTCACATTCCTGATTATGAGTACCATAAATAAAACACAATACGTTTGCAAAAGTTTTAAATACTTCTAATTTAGCTTACATACTTATTATTTAAAATAAAATTAAAATACACCTGAGTGAAAGCAAAAAAATTATTAAATTCAGTGTTAAGGAATTTGATAAAAGCAGGGAGCTAGAACAAATGGTATGATCGAAACTATATGTCGTTCTCGTGGTTTTGTTCTCAAGAACGTTTTACAACAATAACCGAAATGTGAACAAAACTGCCGAGAACGTTCTCAAAGGGAATTATATAGGAACAAAACCATGTGGGCCGCTTCCAAAGAAAAAACATGCGAACAGTACTTTCGGGAATATTTCAATAAGAAGGAAATGGGAGCGAAGTCTCCGGAACGTTTCGGCAAAGAACAAAACGAGAATAAAAGTCCAAGGAACTTCCTCTCGAAGAACAATTTGGGAACTAAAGTCTCAGGAACTTTCTGGCAGCGAACGAAATGGGAACAAATCTTTTCTGAACTATACTCGAAAAATGGAAATCAAAAAAGAACTCAAATATATAGAGAGGCAAACAAAACCAATGAGGGATTTTAGACACGAACTTTTCGTGCACAGATAATGAAACCTTATGATAAACGAAATGGAAGTTGAAATGATCCAGCTTTCCTCTCGCTTAGAATTAACAATCATGGAACGGGTTTTCATCCCAACATGCAGACGCCCCTCTCATTCTTAACGTTAAGTTTTTAAAACCAATGTTCTAGTTATGTTCTCTAGCAGAACGTTCCCAGACTTTTGTTCTTATTTGATCTTCCTTGACAACGTTATCGATACGTTCGTTCTTATTTTGTTCTCATTGGAAACGTTTCCGAAAGGTTCATTCTCGTTCTGTTCTTCTTGAAAATGTTCCCGAAAGTTTTGTTCGCATTTTTTATACGGAAACGTTTCCGAACCTTTTCTTTTGTTCCCTTTCAAACTGTGGCAACGTTCTTGACAGTACATTTTGTTCTTGTGCAGAACTAAACCATAACTGGAACACGTTCTCCGTCCCTGGATAAAAGTTGCCCAGGAAAACTTAAGCTGATTTTATTTTGGTTTTTATTTTTTCAAATTTATCTTACTTTTTTATAATTTTTATTTACAGTAGCTCCCACAAAAAAACGGACACTAATTAAACGCGATAAAATTTCGCTGCATTAAAGTAAATAAATGTTTACTTATTTTATTAATAAAATATTTAATATGGTTTATTTTTTCATTTTTTTTCATTTTGCTTTTTTTTATAATACATTCGTTTATTTTATATCTGAACTTTTAATTTTCGGATTTAGAATCTTCACTTATTTTTGTTTTGTTTTAGGCAATCTTATTTCATTTATTTTCATTATTTATATTTATTCTGTTTTAATTTTGTCTTGATTTATTTTTTTATATATATTAGCGGCCACAAAAACCCGGATCGCTTAACCCGATGTTTAATCTCGATAAAGTTCCGCTCATTATGTAGTAAAAAACGTCAAAGAATTCTTGAAAATTCGTAGAATTTTTTGAAATTTTTTCACAAAGTTTTGAATCCTTATTTTCATGAAATTTGCTGTAGGTTGAACTATATTTTTATTCAAAATATGAAAATATATATTTCTATTTAAACACATTTTTTTGACCGCTACTTTTAATTCGGATTTAGAAATTTCGTTTATTTTTTTTTAATTTATCTTATTTTGTTTTATAATTTTTATAATGTACTTATTTTTTTATAATTAATAGTTTTTTATTTGTTTTATTTTTGCAACGAAGCGGCCATTTTTTATCAGCTCACCTCACCTGTTTCCGCACACCTCGCTTTTACCCACCTGTAATTTGCGATACATTTCCAAATTAATTTGTTTAATATCGTCTAATTGTCGTCGCAGTGATACAATCGTATCCTGTTTTTCGTGTATATCCTTCTCCAGCAATTTCATTGCCATATCGGATTCGGCTTTTAGTGATATTTGTAGTTTTAACTCCTTATCTAACTCTTGAGTTTTCTTTTTCTCTTCACTTAATTCGGCAGTGAGCGATTCGATAGTTGCTTTATTCGCTCGATCTGTTGATTTGTTTGGACTGGCTTCAGCATTGGATGAAGGAGTATCTTCTGCGCAAGTAAATATGTATATGCGGATAAAAATGTTTTCAAATACAGTAAGAAAAGGGACGGCGATTACTTAAAAGAGTTCTTTCTATACATACTTGTGGTGCTTTGACGCAGCGCCTGATTCTCAGCTTGTAATGCCAATAGGCTATTACGCGCAATCGCAAGATCCTCCTTCATTAACGCATTTGTAGTGGTAAGAGACTCAACTTTGGCCTGAAGATTACCTACCGTGGCACTATATGGAAATTTGCTTTAATTTTTTTCAAAATTAGGAGGATAACACAATTTAGCACACATGTAAAACCTTTGCAAGATCAGTAAGTTATACATATGTCCCACTTTTACTTGTTTCTTTCTTTCAGTCAAACTGTCGCTGAAAAGGTCTTACTAATGTGTTGCTCAATTGTCCAAATGGTTTTGATAGAGGTATATACTTTAAATGTCTATTGAGCTCTTCAATATAGTTCTTCTGGTCCAATACGGCTATCATATTGCCCTGACCATTCGCCTCCAGTGATTGATTGATTTCCTCATCGTTATCGTTACTCCGCGAACTCGAACGCAAATAAAGGGAAAAATCGATAACACCCTGCTGTGAATCCAAATCTTCTTCTTTCACGCACAAATTACAATCAATCACATTTAGGCCTACTAAGATACCCATTATGACAACAATCTACCATGAAAGACACAAAAATCACATTAAGCTAACTGGTGGTTTATTTTTTATACTGCATACTCTGAACCCACCTCATCGCTCATCATTAGCGCATGTGGCTCATAATATTCGTAGAGCGAGTCATCGCGATGCTCGATAAGTGCCTGCAGATAATCGGCCAGTTTCTTCTGCATCAATGCTATGCGCAGCCAAGCGCGAGCACGGCCAATGTGCGTCCGCACAGTGGGAAGATCACGAACGCTAGCTGTTATGTCCTGTGCTTCAGGACAATAGCTTTCTACACTTTGAAGCAGGTCCCATAATTCTTTGCGTGGCCCCAAAAGACCCTGGAACAATTTGTGAGAAAAAGTAAAAAGGGATGGCCGATAACGATGCATTCGTTACACACCTTCTTTGGACGCAAACCATGACCTAACACATGCTCTATTACAATGAAGAAGTGCTGCAGCGGTAAGTGATCCGAGTCTAACATACGTCCGAACCTTAATGATTGCTCCAATAATTCCTTAACCACGAGCTTACAAATATTTACCAAGTTACTGCGTTCAATTTCGGCTGGATCGCGAGCTAAAAGTACACGCCGACAAACAGGTACGATTAAATTAGAGCAAAGAGGCTGCGAGTAGCCAATTTATTTGGCGAGTTCTGGATATTAGATAGCTATATGCATCTATGTGGTCAGCGTCATAGAGGTATATAAATACATATGTATGTACATACCCCCAAATATATACATACTTTAATGCACTATATTTATAGTAAATGCGCACATAGGTAACGCCCACGCCCACAACTATACTCGGCGCATTTGCACGCTCGTACATACAGGGTGCATTCGAGCTTCAATAAATGCGGCAGTGTTAATTGTTATGAAAGAGCATAACTATTTACGCGTAAAATATAAGCGATTCTGCCTACAAAAGGCGTTCGAGGAATAGAATTTGACAATCCGTTGCTTCTCACTAGCAAACCTGATGCAATGTAAACAAGTAAGGACACTGCCGAAGGGAGCTATGTAAACACCTTCTCTGTGCACATAGATAGAGGAGTGATATTACCAAAACTCATATCTGAACAATCAGTGAAATGGAAGATATACCTTATATACATAGTACCGATCTGAATGATTTTCACAGTA